ATGAAAGTTGCATTCATTTTTATGCTATGCCAATTTCTCCTAAGACACACTAAATTCTTTAAATAGGTTTGATTTTTCTGTTTGAATGAGCTATACATTGTATACATGGGGTATCTGGAGGATCTGCTTTATGGCCCAAGGGGGGTTTCTTTCTAAAGATTGATTCCAAAATGCTTAAAATGAACATAAAAAGGTTGTGTATACATTTTAGCATAAAGAATACATTTGCTATGTCATTTTTTTCTGGCATAGGTATTCACTGAGCCAACACAAAAAATCTGCTAATATATTCTAAACTAGGTTAATAGATGTAAAATTATTATGTGATTTGTGTATTTTAAATCAAATGCGGCAATTTTTTTTTTCCGGGGGTATACATGCTGAGCACATTGCCTTCTCGCAGCTTGGTATTGCTTTCTTATGATGGTGTGCTAAATATATATGTTTTGTTCAACAGATTACAGAAGCATAATATTACACATTTATATATTTAATCTTTATATTACAGTTGAATCCCTTTATATGCTCATTTCACATAAGACATACCAAACTATTTAAATAGGTTTAACATTGCTGCAAGAAGAAACTTTTGCCCCATGAGTTACTTTTTAAAAGGTTTATGTCAAAATTTACTTGTAAATTGTGTATACATTTTAGCAGTAAGAAAAAAAAAAAAAAACTTTCTATGTCAGTTTTTCTGGCACAGGTATTATGGAGTGCAGGACTGGGTACTAATGGTGAAAAATGATAAGTTGTTAAAACTAACTGCAGACAGAGAACTAAATTCTTAATTAGGGACAAAATCAGACTGCCTCTCAGAAAAATTTATGGAACTTTTTTTTGTATATCTGCAGCTCCTGTTCCTGCAGTCTAACAACCATCCTAAGCATGTTAGATGTAAAGTAACAAAGAAAGTAAAAAGTAACATACCGAAAACATTCTAAAAACACATGTACGTGTAAGTTAAACTGCACATATTGCAGGGCAGAAGTGTAAATTAATTTCTTGGCAGTCGTTTTATCTGCAGTACAGTGAAATCAAGATTTTGCAAAAACATGTCAAATGAACAAGGTTTTAAAAACGCAGGTTTTTGGTGTAGTAAATACATAGCAACAAGTGAGATTTTTTTTCTGCAGTTAAACCTGAATTTTCTGTATGGTTTTTTTTTTTTTACACATATTCATTTTATTTTTCATTACCTTTCTGCATTATTATTGCATTTTTTATTATTTATTATTTTGCATTATTATTTAATTATCATTTTGCATTACAATAATCAAGACTATGCTGCTACAGGGGCATTAGTGCAAGCCAGAAACTATAATAAATAAAGTATTCACATGCTGAAAAGGGTATATTTACAATGTAATAAATATATAAGCGCTGCACATAAAGTTGACACTATATAAATCCTGAATAATAATAAAAATATTTTTTCAGCAGTACCAAAAACCTGCCTACATTTCACTGCTAAGCCAGTTTAATTCATTTTCTCACACGATTAAATGCACATATTATTATTAATATACAGGATTTATATAGCATCAACAGTTTGTGCAGCGCTTTACAATATAAGGAAGACAGTACAATTACAATAAATTTCCGTACAGAAGAAATATGAGGGCCCTGCTCGTGGACAAAGTTTTCCAGCTCCAATCAGACTCATGCCTAGTTATAGCCACCACTTTTACAGGGTGGGTCCACCTTTTAGACCTCTTCAGTGCTCTTACCACCTCTGCCTTGGGTAGGCGGAAACTACTACAGCTCTCTTCTTTTCTAAGATCCCTTCTGGACCATACATGCTTCCACAGACACCTTACCCTGTTTAAAGACCCAGTATGCTGGAGACACAGTATACAGGTCGGCACGATACTCCACATTTTCTGGGACTGGCTAATATCTGCCCTTTTTGGCAAAAGGTCTTGCAATAATGCTCAAACTTACAGGTATCTCTCTCTTTGAAAACCCCACCGCATTGTTTGTTAATTTGACTCCACTGTCTAATAAGAGATATCGCAAGTCGCTACGGAAGCATTTATTGAATGCCACTAGCGCCTGTGTCCCCTGTATGTGGAAACAACAGCCCCCTCCTACTGTGCTCCAATGGTTTGCCAGAGTGAACAATATTGAACACATAGAACATCTGACAGCTGCCCTCAGGAACAAAACAGAGGAGCACAACGCAGGTTCCACGGGGACCGGTTTCTATTTTCCTGCTGAATACCTCCCATACTTATAATTAGTCTTCTCTCCTCATCATGGAAACAGCCTTTTGGTACTGTTGCCCAAGCCGTGGTCCAATCCCTCTTACCCCCCCCACTTCACCTTTCTCTCCCCCACACTTGCCCCTTGCCACCATGTTCTCTCTCCCTTTTTTTTCTTCTTGTTTCCCTTCCCTGTCTAGACACCTAAAGGTGCCACCTTTTCCAAAAATGTTAAAAATACTGCTAGCTTGCGTTTACTACCCAAGTATGACCAATTGGATGCTCTGTTCATTTATATTGTATCGCATGTGGTACCATGCACATTTTCCACTCTTTATGCTCTCTTTCTCCTAAGCTCATTGAGCTGCCAATCTATTTGTACCTTTGAGGCTCTTTGTCCCTACCGTACTTTCTGCTAGCAGTCCTGCTTACTCTGTGGGCCTCCTTTGTAATACAGGCACCATTTATGGTGTGCTGGTCATGGGAAGGTCATTGTTTTAAGTTGCTCTTTTCACAATGAATGCTTCCAAAGGTCTGTATTTACCCGATATGTATGTCAAGCCATGATTTTGTATGTTGACGCATTCCACTAAATAAATAATTAAAAAAAAATATGTAATGTTAATTGAGAGAGTTTAGTTCTGCTTTAATGCCGCACATGTACATATTCGATGAAATCACCAGAACTTCCTGCAATGTCTTCACCACTGGTACCCCTTTTAAAGCAAATATCTGTTTGTTCTACGTACTTCCCCTTGATATACCCTCCAACAAAACAATGAGCAGAAAAAAACTTTGACATCTCAGAGCTAAGAAATGGTAGAGAAGCTAGGCTCAAGGTGTGCAAATAAACTGAAATAACCATTGTGCAACTCAGGCTGGATGGTTAAGGCGGTGCTGCCCTTTTCAGATCTGGAAATCTTGCACTCTACAAACAACAAAAAGGACGCAAATGTGTAGTGCATCATCAACAGCACTTTATTTAAAGGTCAAAGATACAAATTATACTTTCAAGTAAGAATGGATTAGTGGCATGTCATAAGTACAGAAACCAGAAGTTTATTCTCTATCGTCCTAGTGTAAGGGTGTGACGCATGGATAAATGCTGATGTCCAATGTTAATGTCAGGAATGGACTGGCCAGCAATAGTGGGACTCACCTGCCTTATGAGCTGCAGTACCAGGGCTGGCCAGCGGGTGCTCCCAGCAATCAGAGACTCAACCTTGCAGCCAGTCAAACACCTGGAACTGATTATACTGGTGTATTTAATGGATGGCCAGACCTGCAGACTCTGCCTTGGTGTGTGTTTTTCCTGGGCCCTGTATCCTGTTCCTGCATCCTGTTCCTGTTCCTGTCTTGTCGCTGACCCTGCCTGATCTGACCTCTGCTGACTTCTCCTGCTCTGACCCCGGCTCGTTCTTGACCATCCCTCTGCCTGACCCTCTGTACCACTCTGCCCGCTACCTGCTGAACCTGGCTTGTGACCCCGACCATTCTCCGCTTGCTCCCCCTGTACCTACCTGCCCGATTGATATTGACCCGGCCTGCCTGACGACGCTTGCATTGTATGTACTGTTATCTGTGGGTGGTTGGTTTGGTTTGTTTGCACTGTGTTATGTTTTAGTATTGCACTGCGTTTATGTTTGTATGGTTAGTGTTAATAAATTACATTGTTTATAACATATCTGAAGTCTGCGTTTCCCTGCGTCAGTCACACACCTCTGGTCATACCCGGGAGCCCTGACATTACACCAAGGCCCAATCCTGACCAGAAGTGGCTGCACAGGGAAGCCATCTTGGCTTGTTGCTGGGAAGGATGGATCTTGATGAGGTTGTGTATTTATATCTGCTAGTGTTTGATGACAGAGAGTATGCTTATCAAACTCTGAAGGAGTATCCCCGGGATGAACTGCTAGAATGTATACGGCTCGCTCATGTTCTAGTAGATCAGGGCACAGAATTCTCTGAGGTGCAGCCATTGATTCAGATTTGTGCGGAGTTGGTTTCATCTGGTACCCCCGAATGCAGGGATGAATTTTTGCCGCCATTTAGTGCCGACCAGGTAGAGTCCCTGGTATGGTTATTAGAGGATGATGTGGATTGCTTCTTGGAGCATTATGCTGCATGTTCACCACAGGTACTAAGAGATTGTATAAACGCAGTGCAATCTTTGGTCAGACAGGCTTGTGTAAGCTCAGCTTTGTTCAACCCATACTGCAGACATGGACAGATTTGTTGCACCCAGCCTCAGTCAGCTTACAAAAACCCAGTCCTGCTTCTAATCTATTTCCTCAAAGCTCTATTCCTGCATTCCCAACAGCTCCTCCTGCCCTGCTATCTACCGCATGTCAGTACCCTGTTCCCACTCGCTGCACCTATCCTGCCTTTAACCCTGTAAAAAAGCCCTCTGTAGCAACTGCTCCCTCTCCTGTTCCATCCTCCAGCTCTTCTCTGTCTCCAGCTGCTCCAATCGTTTGCAGACCTGCGTTTACTTGCAGTGCTCCAGTAGTTAAAACCAGAAAAAAGCGAAGATTCTTTCGAACCAATACCATCCTGTCAGTATCCAAACCGGTGAGCCTGCCGTCTGAGAACCTGCCTTCCGTGGTTCAGCCTGAAGCCTCTACTCAGCCTGAAGCCTGTACCCAGCCTGATGCCCAGCCTGTACGCAGCCTGATGCCTCTATTCAGCCTGATGCCTCTATTCAGCCTGATGCCTCTACTCAGCCGGATGCCTGCATTCAGCCTGATGCCTCTACCCAGCATGATGAATTGATCCAGCCTGACGATCCTATTAGGCCAGTTGACTCGATGCCCGCTGTTGATCCAGATGATCCGGTACCTGATCCGGTGCCCGCTGTCGTGCCAATTGACTCAGAGCCCGCTGTCGTACCTGGTGACTCGGTGCCCACTGCCTTGCCAGATGACGCGGTGCCCGCTGGCAAGCCAAATGATCTGATGCCTGGTGACCCAGTGCCCGCTGTCATACCTGGTGACCGGATGCCCGCTGTCGAGCCAGACAATCCGGTACCTGATGACCCGGTGCCCGCTGTCGTGCCAATTGACTCAGAGCCCACTGTCGTGCCTGGTGACTTGGTGCCCGCTGTTGAGCCAAGTGACGCTGATGCCAAGTGACCTGATGCCTGGTGACCCGATGCCCACTGTCCAGCCAGACGATCCAATGTCTGACCCAGTGCCCGCGGTCATACCAGTTGACTCGGAGCCCACTACCTTGCCAGATGACGCGGTGCCCGCTGTCGAGCCAAATGACCTGATGCCTGGTGACCCGATGCCTGCTGTCCAGCCAGACGATCCAATGTCTGACCCAGTGTCAGCGGTCATGCCAGTTGACTCGGAGCCCACTGTCGTGTCTGGTGACTCGGTGCCCGCCGCTCCGCCTGGGGGCCCGAGACCTGTCGCTCCGCCTGGGGGTCCGGTGCCTGCCGCTCCGCCTGGGGGTCCGGCACCCGCCGCTCCGCCTGGGGGCCTGAGACCTGTCGCTCCTCCTGGGGGTCCGGCGCCCGCCGCTCCGCCTGGGGGCCCGAGACCTGTCGCTCCGCCTGGGGGGGGTCCGAGACCTGTCGCTCCGCCTGGTGGTCCGGCGCCCGCCGCTCCGCCTGGGGGCCCGAGACCTGTCGCTCCGCCTGGGGGTCTGGCGCCCGCTGCCCCGCCTGGGATTCCGGTGCCTGCCGCTCCGCCTGGGGGTCGGCGCCCGCCGCTCCGCCTGGGGGTCCGGCGCCCGCCCGCTCCGCCTGGGGGCCTGAGACCTGTCGCTCCGCCTGGGGGTCCGGCGCCCGCCGCTCCGCCTGGGGGCCCGAGACCTGTCGCTCCGCCTGGGGGTCCGGCGCCCGCCGCTCCGCCTGGGGGCCCAAGACCTGTCGCTCCGCCTGGGGGTCCGGCGCCCGCCGCCCCGCCTGGGGGCCCGATGCCTGTCGCCCCGCCTGGGGGCCCGAGACCTGTCGCTCCGCCTGGGGGTCCGGCGCCCCACCTGGGGGCCCGATGCCTGTTGCCCCGCCTGGGGGCCCGATGCCTGTCGCCCCTCCTGGGGGCCCGAAGCCTGTCGCCCCTCCTGGGGGCCCAGCGCCCGCCGCCCCTCCTGGGGGCCCAGCGCCCGCCGCTCCGCCTGGGGGCCCGATGCCTCTCGCCCCTCCTGGGGGCCCGATGCCTGTCGCCCCTCCTGGGGGTCCGGCGCCCGTCGCTCCGCCTGGGGGTCCGCGCCCGTCGCTCCGCCTGGGGGCCCGAGACCTGTCGCTCCGCCTGGGGGTCCGGCGCCCGCCGCTCCACCTGGGGGCCCGATGCCTGTTGCCCCGCCTGGGGGCCCGATGCCTGTCGCCCCTCCTGGGGGCCCGAAGCCTGTCGCCCCTCCTGGGGGCCCAGCGCCCGCCGCCCCTCCTGGGGGCCCAGCGCCCGCCGCTCCGCCTGGGGGCCCGATGCCTCTCGCCCCTCCTGGGGGCCCGATGCCTGTCGCCCCTCCTGGGGGTCCGGCGCCCGTCGCTCCGCCTGGGGGTCCGGCCCCGTCGCTCCGCCTGGGGGCCAGAGACCTGTCGCTCCGCCTGGGGGTCCGGCGCCCGCCGCTCCCACCTGGGGGCCCGAGACCTGTCGCTCCGCCTGGGGGTCCGGTGCCCGCCGCCCCCCGCCTGGGGGCCCGATGCCTCTCGCTCCTCCTGGGGGCCCGATGCCTCTCGCCCCTCCTGGGGGACCGGTGCCTGTCGCCCCTCCTGGGGGCCCGGTGCCTGCTGCTCCGCCCGGGGGCCCGGTGCCTGCTGCTCCGCCCGGGGGCCCGGTGCCTGCTGCTCCTCCGCCCGGGGGCCCGCTGCCTGCTGCTCCGCCCGGGGGCCCGCTGCCTGCTGCTCCGCCCGGTGGCCTGCTGCCTGCTGCTCTGCCCGGTGGCCCGCTGCCTGCTGCTCCGCCTGGTGGCCCCGGTCAAACACCTGGAACTGATTATACTGGTGTATTTAAGGGATGGCCAGACCTGCAGACTCTGCCTTGGTGTATGTTTTTCCTGGGCCCTGTATCCTGTTCCTGCATCCTGTTCCTGTTCCTGTCTTGTCGCTGACCCTGCCTGATCTGACCTCTGCTGACTTCTCCTGCTCTGACCCCGGCTTGTTCTTGACCATCCCTCTGCCTGACCCTCTGTACCACTCTGCCCGCTACCTGCTGAACCTGGCTTGTGACCCCGACCATTCTCCGCTTGCTCCCCCTGTACCTACCTGCCCGATTGATATTGACCCGGCCTGCCTGACGACGCTTGCATTGTATGTACTGTTATCTGTGGGTGGTTGGTTTGGTTTGTTTGCACTGTGTTATGTTTTAGTATTGCACTGCGTTTATGTTTGTATTGTTAGTGTTAATAAATTACATTGTTTATAACATATCTGAAGTCTGCGTTTCCCTGCGTCAGTCACACACCTCTGGTCATACCCGGGAGCCCTGACAGTTAAACTATAATGTGCCTGTAATATTCTCTTTGGTCAGTAGATGGCAGCAAAGTACAAGAATCAAGTTTGCAGAGAGGTTTGCTAAGACAGAACCAATACTTATTTACCTTACAAAGTTTAATGAATGCTAATTTAGGGGTTGAGTAGGACCCTCAGAAGGGTCATAGTGAACTGTAAATATAGGTTTGAGGCTGCAATTAGGAAAGTATTTACTGCATCACAAACCCTCTGGGAAGGGGAGGAGTTCCTGTGCTGAGGAGGAAGTGAAGGCTGGGTCTGGCTGATGGATGCTGAGGACATCTGGAGAATCTGTGTGGGGCCTGGAAGAGGATTTATGGCTCACAGTGGAATCTGGCGACGGCACCTAGGTAAGATTCACAACGAGACCAGGAAACAATTGACTGTATGGTCCGGTTCTGGAGTGGATCAGGAAAAAGCACCAAGAGCCTGCCAGGGAACTGTAAGTGCGGCTTTGCTGCAACACATCGCACCACACGTGGTCAGTGACATTTTGGATATACCAGAAAGTTACAAGAGACACACTCCACTTTCCTTTGGATTACAAATAGTATTGCGCAATACTTAGGGTGCACCGCAACGTTATATCTTGCTCAGGAACATTCAGGCACATGTTTACGTATGCTCAACTACATGATCACTATAACTGTTCAGTAAACGTAATTGTTTTAAAAGAACCGCTGTCTGTGTCTGTGTGGCATCGTGTACCCTCTGAATCTGTGGGCCCATCCCTCGGTCTTCCTTCACTAGGACCAAACGGATGACAGTACTGTCTGACACATTTTAGGGGACAGGCCTCCTTCCTAAGGGCAGAAAATGGTTCACCATATTCTGCTCTGAGGAAGGGGGCTGGTCCCCGAAACAATTCAGCTAGTACAGTCATTGCGCAACTTCTTGTTGAGCAATGGGTCCTTACTTATTGCACAACAAAAAGTAGGGCTATGATTGGCTGTGATATAGCCCCACCTACTGGACCAGGGAAGAGGAGGAGGATGTGATCTGGAGCTGCGGTACCGTGATGAGTCCAGGGAGAGGAAGAACACAAGTAATCTGTGCAGAGTTGGGTTGTTTGCCTGTACTGTGAGACAAGAGGGTTGCTTGCTATTGCACTCTGCATCACTGCTGTCCTCTGAAATCTGCATCATTTACTCTTGATTCCTGAACTGAACTAGCGAGGGAGGCAGAGGTCAGTAGTAAGTGAAGCAAAGTGTAGAGATCAGTATTATGTGACACAGAATTTAAAAGGTCAGTAGTAAGTGGCTCAGGAGGTCAGTAGTAATTAATGAAGAGGTCAGTAATAACACAGAATTCAGTAGGGACACCGAAGTTCAGTAGTAAGTAATGTATCATTCAGAGGTCAATAGTGACAAAGAGGAAGGGGGTCAGTAGTTAAGTAAGCCACTACTGAACCCTAAACAGGTCCTAAATATTTATTTTGGGGCCATGGCCCCTCCATTGTACCTCCACAGAGACTCTGTTGTACATTTCATATTCAACATGTTTTCATTCTATACTATTTAATTCAACTCAGACTCTAGTTAAGCAAAGTCCAATATCCAGAGTAATTAAAAACACACCAACCTTTTTCTGTTTTACATTTCCTTGGTCAGGAATCAAAGGACCCCATGTATTATCTTGGCACATAAGCTCACCACTTTCAGAAACACATCCCTGGTTCCTACAAGTAGTAGGTTGGAGTGCTGGTACTCAGGGGCGGACTGGCCATTTGGAAACTCTGGCACTGCCCGAGGGCCCAGGGTCAGTAGGGGGCCCCATGAGATGCCCCTGGTACCTTTTTCATAGGCTTTTTTGAGTTTGGGCAAGGACACAGGGGCCCCATGATCTCCTATTGCCCGGGTTATCAGTCCGCCCCTGCTGGTACTGTCTTTATAATAAAAATGTTATGCTTCAGCCAAGAATAAGCTGCCATTGAGGCAGTACACAAAAAATTCACAACAGTGAGGAGCTGCAACATAATACATAGGGTCTTGATAAATGTTAGGTTTAGCGCAAATGTTTTCATTTGTTTGGTAAAATTTGTTTAATTTACTCTAATTGTCCTGAGCACCAATTTCACAGTTAATAAAAATAAAGGTAAATGTGAAATTCTGAACTGCTACAACAACTGGAATAGAAGTGTAAGTCTTCGAATGGGGATATTTGTTCCTATGACAATTGTCTCAGAGGGAATTTCCCTTACATTGAAAAGATATCCTCTCACTTTCACTGGACAAGAAGTGAAATCTTCCTAATGAAGCACACGTGGTAAAAAAAAAAAAAAAAAAAGAAAAAAAAAAGAAGAAGTTGGCAGTCTTTACCTCTCCCGACTCTATCAAAAATGAAAAAAAAAAAACATTTGGCCTTAAATGTACTTTAATACTTCTTTTCAGATTTTAAAATGTGTTGGATTTTATTTTTTATTATTAGATACAGATAGTTGCTCACTGACTGATTTCACTTTGTATGGCCTTGTATTGCTCTTTAAAAATTAATATAAAAACATTTTTGATAAACTGAGAAAGAGTTAAAATGTTACTAAACCTACAACAGTAAAATCAGTCTGTATATTCAGTAAAGCATGCTTGTTGTACTCACTGTGGAACCTAAGGGGTTAATCCTTTGCATTGTGTAAAAAGGCTGTTTGATCCTGACTTCTCTGCTCCTCCTCTTGTTCAAATGTCCACGCTAATAAGACAGACTGAACCCGTAGCCCTTCTGCACATGCTCAGTTTAGTGTGCATTGCTAGAAAGGTTTTTTTTTTCTTGGGAGAGTGCATGTGATCAGCACAGAGCCAACCAGCACTGTCCAGACAGAGGTCATGGGTTCTGCATCCTCTTAGAGCAGAAAGAAAAATCCTCCTATAAAAACTTTAACGAGTGCTCAGCTGAAGTCACAAGACTGCTATATACTGCAGATGAGATGTATTTAGCAGTTTATATTTACTAACATAATTGTACTTCCATGTTGTGTGTGCTGTGGGAGACCAGATATAGTGAATGCAGGGTCCTGGGTTGAGTAACACTTTAAGTGTGTTGACCTCGGACACACACAGGCTGTGTCCAGAGCAGGGGCGGACTGACAACTCATGGGGCCCCTGGGCAATAGGGGATCATGGGGCCCCTGTGTCCTTGCCCAAACTCAAAAAAGCCTATGGAAAAGGTACCAGGGGCATCTCATGGGGCCCTCTACTGACCCCGAGTTTCCAAATGGTCAGTCCGTCCCTGGGCCAGAGTCAGTCAAAGGCTCTATCCACATGTAACCATTCGGATAAGCAGTTACATGCAAACAGCAGCAGTGCCTGTCAAGTCTGACAGCTGCTTTTGGTCACACAAAGAGTGTGCAAGGCAATATTCTGTCCCACTTATATGTATTCTTCTGTGTTGTATGGGATTGCATCGGGTTACTTTTATTCAGTAGTATACTGACAAAATCTATTGGCAGTTTTGGGCAACCACCAATTGCTTACTATGTGATTTGGTTTCTCCCCTGTCCTCCATTCCTGTTTAGTGCTAGTCCTAGCTAGAACCCTTCCTATTTCTTTGATGTTCTCTCAGTCAGTGTTAGTACTTTACAGAGATGATTCTTAGTAAAGTCAATGGTGTTGATTTACTGAAACTGCAGAGTGCAAAATCTGGGGCAGCTCTGTATAGAAACCAAACCAGCTTCCAAGTTTTTTGTGAAACCCTAACTGAACAAGATGAAGTTAGAAGCCGATTGTCTACCATGCACAGCTGCACCAGATTTTGCCTCCTCCAGTTTTAGTAAATCAACACCCCATTGCCTTCTTACACTTCAAAAGATACTGTGTGCTATGATTAGCTGACATACAATTGTGTTGAATTCAATTTCTGTGTCATATTGAAGAGTTAAGCTGTCTGTGACTAAAGCCAGGTCAGCAGGTAACCATACTGTCCTGATAGAGTGGGGTCTAAGGGGGTATGTCGATGCATAAAGCAGCCAGCATTTGAGACAGGACAGGCAATGCTTAGATTCTTGTCATCAACTGCCATGGACACATGTTTGGCTACCTGAATCTAGCCTAAACTGTGGTGTAAATCACAGTAGAGAAAAATAATGGCAGAATCAATAACTGCATTAAAAATGCTTTGGGTGATGCACATGACATTTAAAGTCATAATTACTATTACTTGTATTTTAAGTAATCCAGAGGACTAATCCAACCGTCTAACATGGTTAATTTTTTTTTCCCAGAGAAGAAGGGGATTGGAGTTTCCAAAAAATTAAACCTAACATACTGTAAATTTGTCTTTTTTTTTCCCCAACATTAGATATGTAAATATTAAATTCTCTTTTCTCATGCTTGTTTCTTGTCTAATACAATAAAATACTAGGCATCATTAACATATTTTTTTTCCCTTAAGGATGGAGTCATACACTA